CTCCATTTATTATTTGTAAAAATTCCCTTATGCTCCTGATTTCTTCCCAGGTGGACAGGAGGGTGGGCCTGGGCATGGACCCCTTGCCCCGGGCACAGCCCTGACTGGCCTTTCTCTCTGTTTCTGAGCAGTGTACCGTGTCCACAGCGTCCTACAGGGCTTCATCCCCCTCTTCCAGAAGTTAATAGGTAAATTGGGGTATTTTTTCCTCCTCTCCCCTGTTGGAAAAGGAGATTTGGCATCTCTAGGAAATACCCAGCCGAGGCAGGGACTCGGGTGTCAATCTACCCGGGGCCTGTTGAGCAGCTGTGTGGCCCCAGAAGGGTCCAGGGCCTCTCTGTGCATCCTGTTGGCTTTGCTTTCCAGGGTTCAAGAAGACCCACTGAGGCCACGGGGACAGAGCCACGTTCTGGGAGACCACAGGAGGCCATCCCAAAGCAATCCAGAGAGCTCTTTTCCTTCCATGTGGGCTGGACCTTGGCAGGAGCCCAGGCCGGGGCATCATTTGGGCAGCCCCAGAATCCCATCCAGCTGCCAGGGTGCAGGGCAGAGGGAGGGCGCGGGCCTGAGCCCTTCCCAGGCACCCGGATCAGCAGGAAGCTTCTGGAATGCGATGGTTCTGGGCAGAGAGCCCAAGAGCCCAGGGAACCCTCCAGGTGGCGCTCTGTCTGGGCTTCTGGTTTCTTCCAAAATCTCAGACCAGGCTGGTGCGCTCTGAGGTCCAAAGAGCCACTCTGGGGCAGAGCTCACTACCCAGAGCCATGGAGCCACCAGGCTGGGTCCCCCCCACCCCCCAGTGAACCTGATGCAGGTAAGAAGAAGGGGACCAACACCACAGCCCCTGGGAATCTTCCCTCAGCCCTGCTGTCCCCAAAGCCATCAATTCAAATAAACACCTCCTCCCTGAACTGAAAGAGTCAACTAAATATTATGCCCTGGTTTCTGGAGTCCAAGAACATATTTGGTGCCCACTTTGAAGCATGTAAGGGGCGTGGCCAGGTAGGGGCGTGGTCGGGCGTGGGCGTGGCTCAGTCCGATCCGTGGCCACGTGGGGGCGTGGTCGATTAAGGGGCGTGGCCGAGTAAGGGATGTGGTCGAGCAAGAGGCGTGGTCAAGCAGAGGGCATGACCGAGCAGTGGGCGTGGTCAGGTAGTGGGTGTGGTCAAGCAGAGGGCGTGGTCAGGTATGGGGCGTGGTCAGGCAGGGGGCGTGGCCTGCAGGCCCTGGGCTGGCTGCGTGCTAGAAACCTCCACTGTGTTAAGATAATGGCAGATGCACCAAGTGGAACACGGAGCACAAGGGAGAAACAGAAGCAGGACAACTCTGTCTTCTGTCCTCCCCTGTTGGGTTTTTGCGCGGTGGGGACACAAGTCCAACCTCAGTTCTCGCTGGTCAACTCCACCCCTGGGAGGTGGTCCAAGGAGGGGCTCCCACACTCTCTCCAGATCCCAGCAGAGCCTCCCAGGGACCCAGCCCAGGCAGGACCCCGGACTTCTCGTAGCTCCTCTGTCTGGCTGGAGTTGAAGGCCAGTGCCAACCTGGGGTCCGGTTACATGTCAGGCAGCAGGTGGAGCCCCAGCCCCATTGCAGTGTGTGCTCAAAAAATAAAGCATTGGATCCTGAGCTCCGGAAGGCCAGCTCAGAAATGGAGGCCGCAGGGGGGAGGTTGAGTTTAGCTTCTAGTGTCCTGGTGCCTGCCGACTTGGTTTCTCCTGTGGTCCCAGGGAAGGAGGATGGGGTAGTGAGTATTTCAGGGCCATGCAAGACATGGGAGGACAGGAGACCAGCCCACAGGGGCAGTAGCAGCTGTTTGTCCCCGTCTCCTGACACAGATCCTGAGGTCCTTTGTCCACTCCAGAGGATCTGGGCCAGGACCAGACTTGAAAGAAGAAAATGCTGTTAGTTAAGTCTGGAAAACTGGACAAAGCACTTGACATTGGACCTGGATTTTAACAAGGGAGACAGGGAAGGACAATGCAGAAGGTATAGGTATGGAGGAGCGAAGGCAGATACCTTGCCCACAATCTATCTATCAAGAAGTCCAGTGTGCTCAGGCCACGCAAGGTGTGAATTGGGTGAAGATGGGTACATGCTATAGTTTGGGAAATGGACCCTTTAAGAGGTGGGGCCTTGTGAGAGGACTTTAGATCATTGGGGGGCGTGCCCTTAGAACAGAGGGAGACCCTCTTCTCTCTTGATTCCTGGCAGTGAGATGAGTGTTTCTTCTCTGCCACGGGCTCTCACCATGATGTGTTTTCCTCCATATCTGCCCAAACAATCATGCACTGGAATCTCCAAAACGTAAGGAAACGGTGCTTTATTTCATTCATTCTAGGGGAAAAAAAATAACAGCAGTAGGCAAGGTGGCACACACCTGTATTTCCAGCGACTCAGGAGGCTGAGGTAGGAGGATCACAAGTTGGAGACCAGCCTCAGCAAGTGAGACCTTCTCTCAAAATAAAAAAAATAAAAATAAAAAAGGACTGGAGATATGGCTTAGTGGTAGAGCACCCCTGCGTTCAATCCTCAATTTCACAAAAATATAAAATGATAGCGAGCTACCCCCATATACCCACCAGGCTGGTGAAAATCGATGTCTGATAATATCAAAGGTAACCCTGGAGAGCAGTTAGAATGAAGATCTCCTGCTGGATGGGAATGTACGTTTATTTGTTCGTCTACTTTTGGAAAATTGTTGGGCATTATCTAATCAAGTCAAAGATAACACAAATATTCCGTGGTCCAGCAATTTTATTCTTAGGTACGTCGCCTGGAGACATAACACTGCACAACATGGCTATCAACATCAACGTTAGCACTGTCCAAAATAGCCCCAACCTGGAAATAGCCCAGCGGGTGATATAATCAAATACTGAAATATCACACAGCAATGAAAAGGAATAAACCACATTTTCCTTGAGTAGAGCCCTATGGCTTTTTATGGCTCTTTTTTTCCAACTGTGAGTACATCCTCGATCGTTTTCGGCATGGTATATTCCAGAACAAAATGATTCCGGTGATGCACTCAATAAAGAACATGAACATCTTGCAACTGAGCAAGTAAAAAGCCTAGAAAATAGGAGAATAGGAATATTTGCTTCTGGCTCAACGGTAGGTGGTATTACCGCGCATGAACACAAGAGGGCGCTAGTCATCGAGCAGCGGCGTCTGGAGGTTTCCTAGCAACGAAGGAAAACACTGAGCTGAGAGTCCACTGTTGACTCTGGCTCCTGCGCCTGCCAGGTGGGCTGGCATTGGCCTCTGTTGTCCCTGTTGGGTGTGGAGCACCCCTGACCTTTCGTATGGAAAGTAGAGCTCTTTTCCCAAATGCAAAGTCAGCTCGATGGAGCTGGGGGGGCTTTGCCCTTGGACTTGGAGAGATTTCTTCCCTTACCAATGTGAAAGATGTACCCTCAGTCCTCAGTGCCTAGGCAACTGATGGAGACTCTGTCTCAAAATAATCAAAAAGGACTGAGCATAGAGTTCAGTGGCGAAGTGTCCCTGGGTTCAATCCCCGCTATAAAGGAATGAATGAATGAATGAATGAATGAATCAAGCAAGCAAGCAAGCAAGCAAGCTGCAGCGTAGCTCAGTGACAAAGCACTTGCCTAAGATGCACGAGGCCCTGGGTTCCATCCCCAGCACTGCATTACACAAATAAAAGCTTTAGGTAGCCGTGGAAGTTTTCAGGATTATTGACAAAAAACAGTATTAGTTTTTTAAATGAATAAGCAAGTATTAGGTGAATTTGAGATCCATCATGGTGGTAGAAATAGGTACCATAAAGAAGGCAGAGTTAAGGGGCCAGGGGTATGGCTCCGTGGCAGAGTGCTTGCTTAGTATTGCATAAGGTCCTGGACCTAAATGGTGGCGCTATCTGGAGGTGGTGGGACCTTTAAAAGGTGGGGCTTAGGGGAAGGAAGTTAGGTCATTGTGCCCAACTACCACTAAAAATTTAAAACAGAATGTTATGTGGGCTTGGTGGTGCACACCTGTATATTCCCAGCAACTTGTGAGGCTGAAGCAGGAGGATCACAAATTTGAGATCAGCAACCTAAACTACTCAATGAGACCCTGCCTCCAAATAAAAATAAATAGGGCTTGGGATGTAGTGCAGTGTTAAAGTGCCCCTTGGGATACAGCAAAAAAAAAAAAAAAAATTAAATTGAGACATAATTATTCGAATAGGGCATAATGTGATCTTCAACAAAGGCAGACATTGTGCTGCGCTGGCAAAGTCTGCTTACTTCAGGAAAGTCAGAAAATATAATATTAAACATTCCATACTGCCATATATAAGGAAATAATCTCTAGGGCTTTAGTCCTTAGATTAGGATGAACATCAGAAGGAAGCATCTTTACCATTTTTTTTTGTTTTTTTTTGTATTGAACCTTGACCTCCTGCCTGCTAAGAATGCTCTCCCACTGAGTGACCTTCGCAGTAGATAATTTACCTTTTGAAACACATTCCCAGGTAACATGGATGCAGCTGGTCCCCTGGCTACACCCTGGCCGCCACCTCCGTGTACACGCTGAGATCTCTCACCCAAAACAGGACGGATATTTTAATTTGTTTTTTTCCAGGAGCATTCCTCTAGTTAAATTATCGGTTTGTCCTTAATTACCCATTATCTAGATGACGACGATTATCATAATTATTCATTTATTCTCTTAATTATTAAAACTAAGGGGATTAAGTTCCCAATTTCAAGAGAGGGAATTGTTGGGTCAGAGGCCCGAATGCTTTTTCAAGCTCCGTAATATATACATTGGGGCTGGGGGTGCAGCTCAGGAGTAGAGTGCCTGCCTAGCATGTGTGAGGCCCTGGGTTCCATCCTCAGGAATGCAGGAAAAAAAAAAAAAGATTTCTATAAAAGCCAGGAGGTGCAAGCCTGTCATCTCAGCGACTCAGGAGGCCGAGTCAGGAGGGTCTCCAATTCTGGAGCGACCTGGGCAATTTTAATGAGACCTTGTCTCAAAATAAAATAAAAAGGGGCTACAGATGTAGTTCAGTCACCAAGAGCCTCTGGGTTCAATCCCCCAGTACTTCCAAAATTACTAAAATTAAATAAGTATAATATAAATATATAATATATATATATAAAAATTTTTTTTGAGGAGGGAAATTCTGGAGATTGAACCCAGGGGTGCTTAACCGCTGAACCACATCCCCATTCCTTTTTTAGGATAAAAGCTAACGCGTTGCTTTCTCTGTTGAGCTTGATGTCCCACTTTTCCGAAATTAGGAAGGTCTGGGGTTGTGGCTCAGGTGGCTGAAGGGTAGAGCACGGGTTTACCCCCCCCCCCAGCAAGGCCCTGGGTTCACTCTCCAGCACCCAAAAAAGAAAAACAACAAAATTTTGCAGAATGGGCCCCCTTTTATTCCAAAATTCGAGTTTGTTAATATGACTTCTAACACGAAAGCTGAGAGATGTGTGTGGACGTGAAGCAGTTTAGTTAGATCTTGTTTTTTTTTTTTTTTTTCTTTTCCTAAATTAACTCTAATTACAGTGATTGGCTGGGGAGTTTAGTGGTTCAGGGCGAAAACCTCAGGAGTCAAGCAGATTTGACAAAAGCAGAACGTTTTACAATGAATATTTGTCTAAGTCTGGAAGCTTCGGTTTCTTCCTTTGCAAAATGAGACTCAGAATGAGACTCAAGGCTGGGCTCGGTGGCACACGCCTGTCATCCCAGTGGCTTGGGAGGCTGAGATGGGAGGATCGAGAGCTCAAAGCCAGCCTCAGCAGTAGGGAGGCCCTAAGCAGCTCAGTGAGACCCTGTGTCTAAAGAAAATACAAAACAGGGCTGGGGATGGGGCTCAGTGGTCAAGTGCCCCCAATACCTATCCCCCCCCCAAAAAAAAGTCACATTAGACTATATAACAGCAAGGTGATACAGAAGTTGACAAATGACT